CTCCAGCATCGGCAGTTCCTACTATCTCTTATTTTCTATCTGTCTGCTTGGTGCACATTTTGTTTCATTTCCTTTATGCCACACCTTTCTTCTTTTGCAGTTTCCTGTTTGTACGTCTATTTTTATTTCTGCCCAAATCTGTCAGACTCAGCCCCTTGGTCTGTCCTGCAAACATTGTCTCCATTTCCTTTGCAATTCTGTGATTGAGTTCAAATCCCACCACAGTAACTTGATGACATTCAGTGCAATGCATCTGGACATTCCTACATTGGTACAGAAGAAAGCTGCTAGATCAACATAAAAACTGACTCTCCAATGTCACTATACCTGGTCTGACCTACACGGGACTGATTTTATCTCTACAAGGACATCTAGGGCTGGATAATACATTTTTTAAAAAAATTGTTCTATAAATGTGAACTGTAATTGTGCTGATAATCTCTTTATCCATCATCTGTGTTTCTTTCAACTTCTGTTACTCTGCCTGTTTTTCAATCCCTGACAGTCTAATTTCACTTGGTCCGTTTTGAACTTCTGTTCCTGGCTACACATGTCTATTTCATTGTTTCATGTACCTGTGATATCTGTGCTAGTCTTATGCTTGTATGTGTTTCTATCTCTGTCCTTGTAAATCAAAACCTCTGGTCCTATATCACTGATGAAACTGAAGACCAGTCCCAATTTGCCCCATATATCAACAGAGCTTCATTGACCTAAAACCTCATACCAAGCCCCAAAATCATCTGTGTGAAATGGTGAGGTGTAAGGATGAGTTTCAGATTTCTTAGATGGTGTGGCAGGTATGTAGAAACCTCTCTCCCCATTCGCCCCAAATTCTTGTTAATGTAAACCTCTTTAGCATAGAGCATTAATTTGTGTTTCCGGAAGGAAAAGAGCGGTAATGGAAAGGCTTATCAGCCATCAATTTTATTTTTTCTTTGATGGGGTTGAGGGGGTCTGGAAGGAATGTGGTGATGGGAAGAAGAGGTGCCCAGTCTCCTCTTCATTTGGAGGACTGAGGAGTGGATAGACAACCTGCCAAGTGAGAGAATGAATGAGGGAGTCAGGGTGCAGTATTCAGTATGGCCAGTATGTGGCAGCACAGAACAATTCAGGGTAATACTTCATATCAATTGATGCATTCTGCTGTTACCATTAACAGATTTAACGTGAAAATCGGTCATTTTGTAGGATTATCAACTGATGTAACTGTCACTGCTTGGTACATGTTGACAGAATTTCCTTTGGTTCTTTTCTTCAAAAGCCAAAGCCTAGTTTTGGCCGTTGCAGTCAATTTTAAAATTGAATATTGTGATCCACTGAGTGTTTGCATAACTACAAAAAGTTATGTAATAGAGGTACCCAGGATTGATTATTGGTCAGTGGTTACGTTCGGATTCAAATTACTTTGCAAATAAAATTTGGATGCTGTGCAACAGATTATTTCACCTGATCCTTAATTAGTGTTTGCTACCTATAAATGCTTCAGGGTGGCTGTTGTCATCTGATTATTCCAAATGTTACTAGAAAACATATAGTTATCTGATTTGTGAAATAGATACTCATTAAATGTTCAACTTTCAAAAGCATTGCTATTTAATGTTTCTTCCCTGAGACATCAGTTTTGAAGTAATTGTAATTACATCCATATATATATATGGAATTTAAACATGGGAAATAATGCTTTTCAAAAGATAGTTAAGGTTTGAAATATACCTTCCACAGCCATAATGCAGAATTTCTCATTTATAATTATATATTTAGCAGAAGTATGAAGACGCAGTATCATAAATCTTCTGCGCTAATTCATGATGGAAGTATTGAGCTTGGACTGAATAAGTTTGTATCATACAATACATGACTTCATTTTCGTACAATTATAGAATCCTTACAGTGCAGATAGAGGCTATCCAGCCCACTTAGTCTACACCAGCCCTCTGAAAAGCATCCCACCCTATCCCTATAAACCCACAGTTACTGTAGTTAATCCACCTAACCTGCACATCTTCGGATGGTGGGAGGAAACTGGAGCACCTGGAAGAAACCCATGCAGATACCGGGAGAATGTGCAAACTCCACAGACGGTCACCTGGGTCCCTGGCACTGTGAGGTAACAGTGCAAATCACTGTGCCACCTCATATTTTGCTATCACAAATCATATGTCTTCTCTCCCCAACTACTTCTTAAGGAATAGTTTGATTCTTTTGTTTGAGTTTGTTAAACAATTCTTGTGAGAGAGCAATAGATCCAGATCTGTAAGTGAATCATATATTAAAAATAAATAACTGTAACCTCATGTTTATTTTAATCTTTCCTGTTCTATTTTCATCATATTGATTAGAAGTTTTATAACCCAAATGGGAATTGTTATATTTTGAAACTTTATTTGCAGAAAAGCATGTAACCAAAAAAATCCTGTACCGAGCTGAATTGGATTTCTGGTGTTTGAATCCAAGTGTCAATTTTGAATTTCTTTAAATATTTATTTTCTTTACACCAGGTTTTCCTCTGCTGTTGAAAGTGTTGGGTCTTGTAGGAATGCATTATCATTGGCGAGTACCATCTAGAACCTTACCAATACAATGAATGTTTGTTTGTAAGCTACACAATTTTAGGTGAAATGTGGTGCCTGTTTTATGTTGTCTTTCAAATATATAAATTTGTGAACTCCGGCTGAAATGGCAAATTAGAAGGCAACTGGTGTATTTTCTTGCCACCTCCATAGCCTGACTGAACGACTTCTGATGGCCTGCAGCGGCACTGAGACATGAGACTTTGGGGAGGGAGGCCCACGTGACTTGTAGAGATAAGGTTACCTCATGGAGATAAAACTTTTAGATCTGGACACTTCCCCCTTCTTGGCTTTTTTTTTAAATTCAGGTTTTTGTATCTTTAGATGGTTGTTTTTTTTTTAAAATTGGCTTTTTGTACCTAAGATGGCACCAGTGAGTGGCAACTTTATATACTTTTCACTGTACTCCTGTACTTAAGTACACAAGGCAATGCCTCTGCATTACAAACAATTTCAGCTGCGAAGCAACCTGTCAGGACTATATTGAAATGCCAGCCTAAAGTGTGCTCAAATCCTGAGGTGGGGTTTGAATTCCAGTTTTAGCTTGGAGACAAGAACTAACTACAAACCCCAACTGATGAAGCTATATTCAAATACAATAAGCCTCACATTGATAAGAGTAAGAATCGTAGCATCATGCTTTGTGATCTTATAAGTTTCCCGCTGAAAACACTGGATTAAATAACTAGTCTTTTAAAGCATTGTGCGTTCATAAAACTTAGTTTCAATTTTTACTTTTGATCTTCGCTAAATCTATAAATTTTTTTTCTTTCCTATATCCAGTAGATCATAGATGGCAAACAGGCCATTAGTACAGAACAAGTCGATCTCATAAAGTCATTGAAGGCAGCATCCTGCCCTTTATCTGAAATGTTAGGGAACTGTTCCCTGGAACATCTCTCTATTGTGGTGAAAAAGGTGTTTGGTATGCCTGCCTTTACTCAATGCATTGCCCAATACAGGAGTTGGGAGGTCATGTTGTGCCTGTACAGGACATAGGTCAGGCCACTTTTAGAATACTGCGTTCAATTCTGGTCTCCCTGCTGTAGGAAAGATGTTGTTAAACTTGAAATAGTTCAGAAAAGATTTACAACAATGTTACCGAGATTGGAGGGTTTGTGCGATAGGGAGAGGTTGAATAGGCTGGGGCTTTTTTCCCTGGAGCTTTGGAGGTTGAGGGGTGACCTTATAGAGGCTTATAAAATCATGAGGGGCATGGATATGGTAAACAAATAAGGTAAAAACCAAAAGAACGGCGGATGCTGTAAATCAGGAACAAAACCAAAGTTGCTGGAAAAGCTCAGCAGGTCTGGCAGCATCTGTGAAGGAAAAAACAGAGTTAATGTTTCGGGTCTGGTGACCCTTCCTCAGTGTGTAAATAAGTAAGGTCTTTTTCCCCGGGTAGGCGTGTCCAAAACTAGGTTTAAGGTGAAAGGGGAAGATTTAAAGGGGACCTGAGGAGCAACTTTTTCACACAGAGGGTGGTGTGTGTGTGAAACAAACTGCCAGAGGAAGTGGTGGAGGCAGGTACAATTACCGCATTTAAAAGGCATCTGGATGGGTACATGAATAGAAAGAGTTTGTAGGGATATGGGCCAAATGCTGACAAATGGGTCTAGATCAGTTTACAATATCTGCTCGGGATGGACAGGGTGGCCTGAAGTGTCTGTCTCCATGCTGTGTAATTCTATGACTCTAATTCTAATAAAACCTAATTCTAATAAAACCTAATTCTAATTTTCCATCACCCAGGCTGAGAGGAACAGTGAGGCTTCAACCTGGAACAGTAAACCAACTGGAAGCACAGCTTTGTTGTTCTTTTAAGTCACATTCATATTAATAATCACAACATTAATTATCCAAAAGAAAAAGGGGTAACATTCAGGATTTGAATTTATACCATCTGGGCATGTTTTGAACTATGCTAACCTTCTCAGTTATGACCCTTTCAGACTTGAGAAATAAGTGAAGAGCTCATCTGTAGAGTTTTGAAAGAGATGTGTTATGTTAGTTCACATAAAAACGAACCATTGGAAACCGTATTTATTCTCTAAACCATCATTACAGGCTTTGTATTTTTATGAATTTCGATCCCTTCGGTCATTGGATAAAGACGTTATGGGAGATCCAACAGTAAACATTCCATTACGGGCAACAATCTCTCACAAGGCCACAGGTCAGTAAATCATGTGTTCCTTACTTCTTTTCTGTATTTCAAGGCATGTTTGTAAATGTCTGCATGTTATAACCTGCCTGCTTTACTTGTACTGAAAAGTATCAGGTTTGAAAAGCAATGTAAACAAAACAGCTTTTTCGTGCCTTAAAATAGATAAGGTTGTGAAAATTTTAACAACGTAACAAAGCAGACTTGACTATAAGTAGATTTAAATGTTCAGATTAAAAATCTGATTTTTTTTCCCTTCCACAATGTCAGAGGGTAAACACATTGTTGGCATGGCATTGAGACACCAGACTGGAGGTGTTTATGCTTTGATATCCTGGTCTGTACTGAGTCATATGGTGTTAGCCTGGGCAGCAGCTGAGGCCCAGCATCACTAGAAAAGAGCGAGAGAAAACAAGTCTCTCAGTTCTGTATGACTATATGATGATCCATGCTGAGTTGTGCATATGAAGACAAGATAAAACTTGATTGTGATGCTTCTCTGCACGCAAATGTTCCAATTGCCTGCCAGCGCCCAATGTTAGACACTCACGCACAGATTGGTGCAAGATGTTATATGTGCATTTTATCTTTAAACACTCCATGTGCTGCGTGCAAACAGTGTTGCAACTCTTCCTGGCACTTAAGCTGCAAGTTACTCACACAGAAATCAACTGGTTGGTGTAATGTTTGCTTCATAACTTATGTTTCATTATTATTGCAGTTAAACAATAGCTGATGAGTCATCGATTATTAGACTATTATAATTTACAGGTCATTGGTTTTCTGTATTAGTCGGCACCATTAAGGGGTGCGGTGGGGGAGAATCTGTAATGAAATATTTCTGTGCTTGAATTCTTCCAAGATCTCATGAAGCACTTGACCCTGGCAGTACTTTCCAACTTTTATTAGATATTTTTATACTCCGTGAACTGAAAAAAACGTTGAAAAGAAACTTCAATGATGTATAGCTTGCATGGTTTAAATAGTTCAGGATGAATTTGTCTTTATCAATTTTCCTAACTTTATGAAACCACCTGAGGTCCAATCAATTTTAAATGGTAAAACTTCAAGTTTTTGATTAATGTTCTATTTCTTATCGCAATAGTGAAGTTTACTGATCTGTCATGTTACAGCTAAAAAATCGACTATAATGATCCCTTTTTTACTGGGTTGAAGAAATTCACATGATCTTGTACAGTTTGGACTGTAGAACTGAACTTACTGAACAGTGTTGTTGTGTACTAAAGTTACAGAACCCCTGTGTTTTATCCTCTGAGCTGGAATTCTGTCAAAAGAAAAATCAAAGGCCACATTGTCTGAAAGAAAACACTGATTTAGAAAGTTAGAAATCTCAAAGTTAAAATACAGCCGGAATTTAAGGTCCAGTAAAATACAGTATGCGAATGTTTGGTAATGTTGAGCTTAGTTCAATAATTAGGTAAGGTGTTTTTCTCAATGTTTTCAATGGAAAGAATAGTTAAAGATGAAAAATCTCAAATGAGTACTTTGCATTTAAAATTACCTGAAATCATTGTTTTTTTTTGTTTGTAATAGCTTGAAGTTTCTTTAGCTAGAATGCAGTTGTGACCTTGCTGATGAAAACCACATATAGAAACTGATTGTTGCACAGTAGGTCATGACTCAATAGTAAACTGGACACCTCTCAGGAGTCCAGGATGTAGGCATCTCTTTCAGCTCACTGCAATACTGCATACTGCAGTCATCTCCCTTCTGCCCAGTTTCTGATGTTCTCCACTCACCTGACCCTTCTCCAAACTGATCTGTCCTAATGTTTCACTTTGTATTATTGTCAAGCCAGATTCTCACTTCCACCTCTTTTAGTGGTCTACTCTCTCAGTGATTTGACTGGTGGATGCCTAAAATGTATGTTTTTCTCCTTAAGTATGTTAATGAGGGCGAGCACCTGTTGAAAGATGCCTCAACAAAATGTATTTTCAATGAGCAACTCAGCAAATTCATCAACCTCTGAGTCTGCACACAGGAGATTGCTGGTTCCATTTAAAGAAACAGCCTTCTACAGATTGGGAAGGAACTGTACCTCTTAAAGCTCCCCTCAACTCCTCAACCTCCCATTCAGTCCTCTCCTATCAACAACTGTCATTTCCAACCCTCTTGCTACAACTTGTTTGAATGCATTTTTCTCACAAGCGAACTGTTTGTGGAGGCACGTAAGATGTAGATGGATGTTGATGCCCAATTCTGGGGGAGCTTTGGTTCTCATTGACTGGGCACACTGTGCTTGGACAACGTTGAGTCTGGGCCTGTATTTTCTACCACAAGCTTCCCTGGGAGATTGGCTCAGATTCATGGGATTGGGAGAACCTATCTCAAACCAGTCTGAAGTTACACTTGCCACTATTTCCTGTAGAATCATTCTGGAACACATCCTGTCAGTGACATCTGCAGAATGGACAAAGAAGGGAAAAGAGGAAGAACCCCATAAAAATTACAGGAGGCGCATTTGTATGTTATTTTTACATGTGTTATAATTAAAAAGAGACAAGTGCCCCAATCAGGTTACTTTCCTTCAATATTCCCTCTTTTTAACATTTGGAAATTTGTCAAATATGTAAATGCAGATAAGGAAAAGGGGTGGCTCAGTAATTTTGAGTTTTGCTATAAGCTGTTTTGACATTTTTAGTTGTGCAGATTGGATTTCCTTGCCTTGGCAGCCAGGATGGGGTAGCAGCTTTTGAGGTCACAGTGGTCATTATGGATGTGGAAGGGAATGTTGTTCTTCAAACACCTCATAATGCAATATTCTTCAAAACTTGTCAAAGAGGTAAGCCAAATCGTTCTGCTAATATATTTCATTCATATAAGTTATCTGAATCATGAAAATTTTGTAATATTAATTCCTTTCTGATTCAGATTCATGCTGTTAATAAATTCAAGTTTCTAGTGAGATTATGAAACATAAAATAAACACTCACTATAGGGGCCGAAAACTTTAAACTGGGTGAGCCATGAGCATTGCTAAATAGGCATCAATCTACCTATGTTTCATCTATTGTCTAATTTTGATAAACTCATCCTTCAGGACTCTAATTTGAATCTGTAATCAATTTGCTGGTTCTTATTGAAAAATCAGTCTTGATTAACTTTTCTAATCAGGTGAAAACTCAGTGGAGGAAATTTAAATTAAACCCAGTCATTTACCCACATCTCATCTCACTGCTTTCCTGCTATGATGTTTACCTGCTGTTATGAGGAGGAGGACAGAGTACTCAAGTAAATGAAACAGAGTTTTCCTTTCAGAAAGCAGATTGAGGCCCAGTATTATAGCCCAGTAATATAGTGTTGGTCTCCAAGTTGTTCTTTGGATGATCAGTTTTACCCTTTATAGTACGAGATTATAAGGGTAAGATTCCATCTTGCTCTTGCCTACACTTAAAAAAGACTGACTAGAAAGATTAACATTAAAAGACTATAAACGCAAATTTTAAGATTGAACCTTTTGAGATGTGAGCAAAATCAGAAATTTGTTGGAACCCCTCCCCCAATCCAATTATGGAACCAGTCAGCATAGGTAGCAAGGTACCTTAGCTGATTGCAATTTAAAAAGAAAAGCAACTGCACTGAACCTGTGCTTACATTAACTGATAAAGGGCAAACTACTTAACTCTAATTGTAATGTATACCATCCCTTATGAATCATGTGAATAAGGTAACATTATGAACGCATTGGTTATTGAAGATTTACAGGAACTTTTTTTTGTGCAAAGCTAAATGTCCAGGGGGCTGTCGCAATGGAGGTTACTGTACTGACAGACAGTTCTGTGAATGCCCTGATGGATTCTATGGACCTCATTGTGAGAAAGGTAATAATGATATGATAGTCTGTGGATTTCTGTTTTAACATTTTTAAATCCAATTCATTCAGACAAACAAAGTTTTATATGTGCAACAAAGATTGGTCAGTTTTATAACTGATGCACTGCTTTCTGTTCAACGAGACACTGTGCCTTTTTCTGAAGTTGTTGCTTTAAACTACCCAGGGAAAAGAAGGAAAGTTGGCAGGCAAATCACCTGGAGCCTTTCACACACTTTCTCGCAGCCAGTCACAGAGCTGTATTTGTCTAGTCTCTTGTCAGGAATGTGGTGCAGCAAACCTAGAGCAAAAATATTAAAACACAGCGAGAATAATTTAGGAATGAAAAATAAATTAACTTAAACTAAAACTATTTGAGTTGCTTTGTAAGCTAAATTAATGTGTTATTTTGGAAATGCATAATATTTCAAGCTCACCTGTGCCTTAACGAAAAGAATGCATTACTTTAATTAAATAAAGTGAGCCTCATGATTATGCATATTTTGATGGCACAAATGACCTAACCAAATGCATCTTCTCAGAACAATCATTGCAGTTGACTTTATCGTACAGTTTACCATACTTTGACATGTGTTCTCTTTTACTGAAATATATATTCACTATTAGAAAAGTAACAGAATATGCAAAAGTTAAAGCTGCATAAGTTTTGAATTAAAATGTGAAAATGTTTCCATTGGTATTTTAATTGACCACCATTATCTTATAAAAATTGCCCAGATAATCTGTTCATCTTTACTTGGCCTGTGCTGTCATTTGAATTCTCCTTCCTTTAAACCACATACGTTGCCCAACCCCTGCCACATCCCCAAGCAGTGTTCCTGTTTAGCCCCTTGATTTCCTACCATCTCCACAGGCCTGCCTGCTCACAGGACATGGTGGTGGTGAATGAGATGAAGTCACAGACCCCTCAAGTTCCACGGCTGCTTTTGAGGGATTGTGCATGTATGTCAGGGACCTCAATCCTGTGGTACCCAGCCAGCTATGTCAGCAAAGGCTAACAAGGGAAGCTGAGTATATCATCTCATTCACATGGAATATGTATTTTTTGCAGGGGTCTGCTGAATTTCTGTTTGTGGAGAAGGCTCCCTGAAATCCTGCAGTAAGGTTAAAGAGGAAGGGAGCTGACATTCCATGCCTCTGCCTCTTTTGTTTTAAACCCCTGAACTATACTCTGGGTATAAATCAGTCCCTGCCAGTTTTGCTTTTAAAATGTAAGATAAGATGTACAGAATGGTTCTGAAAATGCATCAGCCAGTAAGCCCAGCAATTATATTGGGACTGAGCCCACCATTCACTCCACCTCAGTATGTGGAGTCAACCAAGAACGTTTTTCACTTTTTCTTTGGAAAGGCATTACACTCTGGGTAAATATACCCTCATATTTTAAAAGACTTCAGGATACTCTAGCCTACTTCCTGGCCTCATTGAATTGTTAGTAATGGAGGTGCAAACAATATAAGGGAAGAAGAGTGTATGTCTTTTCAAGTGCATTCTTTGAGATTATTAATAATCTCAATGAAATGTTTCTAAGACATGCTATCTTGAGAATCAGTGCATTTCTTAAAAGAAAATCTTTCAAATTTTCCTTTTGTTTCATGTTAGCTCTGTGTGTCCCCAGATGTTTGAATGGAGGTCTCTGCATCAGTCCAGGATTGTGCATCTGCCCTCCGGGATATTTTGGTATAAATTGTGATAAAGGTAAAAGAAGAACCTGGCTGAGAAACTGTTTCCTTTTCTTTCATTCAGATATGTTTGGTGAATGTTTGTCTTTATCATGGTGAGGGATGTGTGCAGAAATGGAACAGTCTGGCTCTGTGATCACTGAACACAATAATTAAACAAGATATAACTCTGAGATGACTTGGACTCCCCACAAACCACAGTCTAGTGAACAATTACAAGAAGGGCTATTTGTTCATTAGATAGTTTTGCTAATGGTTGAAAATGCGTTGTTATCTTCTTCTGATGGTCTTTCAGAGTGAGCAGAATGTTTGCTACAGAGTACATCTAATGTCAAGAAACTGCCCATCAAATCTTTTAAGTTGATGAGTCTTTTGCATAGCAGCTATGACAGTGGTTCTGGCTGACCAGATTCTTGCTCCTACTACTTGCCATTTATTGATTGAAAGCATTTGCAAATTGATAATCAACCTGTTATTTTATAAGTGCACCTTTCATGGCTATCAAATCCCTGAACAGGACACAAAGTTGAAACATCTGGCTTAGAGGTGGAACACTACATTACTGTGCCACAGGTTGCGCATCACAGTAGCTCAGTGGTTAGCATTGCTGCCTCACAGCACCCGGAACCTGGGTTTGATTCCAGCCTTGGGTGACTGTATGGATTTGGTTAATTCACCCAGTATCTGTGTGGATTTCTGCTGGGTGTCCCAGTTTCCTTCCACAGTCTAAAAATGTGTAGATTAGCTGGACTGGCCACGCTAAATTGCCCTGTAATGTCCAGGCTAGTGGGTTAGCCATGATAAATGTGGGATTACAGAAGTGGGCTGAGGGTCTGGGTCTGGGTGAGATGCTCTTTGGAGGGTCAGTGCAGACTCAATGGACTGGCCTCTGTGTGCACTGTAGGGATTCTATGATTCTAAAATCTCCCTGCATTATCTGTTGACCATTGTTAGATGTCACTTAGCTCGTGCAGAACTGTGATATTTAAATAAAGAGTTTCCTTCCCACTTTTAATTTCAGGCCAGACTTATGTTACTGATTTAACATTGGCAACAGGCCCAGAAGAATAGCTACAAGGAGAGGAGATTTAAAGTCAGTAGCTGGACTGGAATCAGGAAGGAAAGTTAACATTAAAATATCGGCATATTGGAGAAGCCAAGTTGTTGCTCCATTCCTTTTGGAGCTTGTTAAAAGGAAAATGTAATGCTGATCATGTTTCATCATTGTATTATTCAGATTGTAGCTTTATCCAATACAGATGGAGAAGTGTGGGATGTTCTTTGTACTACAGATCCAGCAAAAAAAAACCCCTCAGTCTACTCAATATGCCATAAATCCAATGTCAGTAAAATGGCTGGCAGGTCCATGTGACATATGTCATTTCACACAACGGCTTTGAGTGAGGCTGACAATCAGGTGCCAGATTATGTGTAATTAGAAAGATTGACAAACATATAATGCACTTCAAGGATATGATAGCCAGCAGAAAGAGAGAACTTCCAACCTACCAGCTCAAACAAATTTAACCCAACGTCTCAGAATGAAAGACTATATTCACAACTGAGCTAGGCAGGTTTCAGATCTACATTGAAATTGAGGAGGAGGCAGGAAAGCAGAGTTAAGCCACAATTAGATATGCTATGATCAGTTGGCTGAATGGCTTATTCCAGCTATTTTGTGGATCACAGAAAATGAGTGTATTAAATATGCAGCCATAGATTGAACATTTAAAGAAGGACATTAGTTCAGGTTATGCTATGGGCAGTACGTTGTGTTGCAATAGTTGTTGAAAATTATACTGAGTATCTTGTATTGAAATTGTTTTATTTCAGCAAACTGCACCACAACCTGTTACAATGGTGGAACCTGCTTCCATCCTGCCAAATGCATTTGTCCACCAGGTTATGAAGGGGATCAATGTGAAATAAGTGAGTATCAACCTTTTACATTTGCATGTATCAGTTTTTATTTAATTATTTGTATTTGTCAGAAGTAAGTGTTCAACAAAAGTGATTTGTTTGTAATGGTGAACAAATTCTGTACAATCTTTAAGCTTTATCTTGATGCTGTTATTCGCAATTAGTTTGCAACTGAACTGAACCAGTTAGCGAACAGATGATTAAATAGATCAAAGTTTTTGCATGCAGGCCATTTATTGTCGATGTGACGAAACAAATTTTTAAAATCTTAATTTATATTGTCGTTATGATCTTTGTAGAAATCAACAACTTTAAAAAAAAGAAATTCTAATTTCTAATAAATAGCCAAAGGATGACATAACAATATTTCATATTGTCAGTCATTTATTGAAACTAAAAGAACTGTCAACTAATGACTGTCTTTATAAGCATCTTAGACTTGATCACAGTATGGAATGCCCCCTTCTTATTTTTAGCCCAAACACATACACACTTTGGTGTATGTTTCACTGTCTCTTTAAAAAATATTAATTTCATGGACTCAAACATTTACAGCCCATCATGTCTGCACCAGACTAATCCCATTTTCCAACTTTTGACCCATAGCCCTTGAGATTACGGGAACATGCGAATACCTAAATATTGATTAAATGTTAACAAGAATGTCTGACTCGGTCAGCCTTTCAGGCTGAGTTCCAGCCTCTGGGTGGAAAAAAATGTTCTCCTTAACCTCCTTCTTAGCCTAATAAAAAGATGCTGCTTGGTTATTGGCCCATCTACTAATGGAAAACGTGCCTTACTATCCATCCTATATGCCAGCTTTATAATGTTATACACCTCTGTCGGGTCCCTCCCAACCTTCACTGCTCCAAAGAAAACAACACCAACCAGTCTAGCCTAACTTAATATACCTTAGCTCAGACCCTCCAACCCAGGCAGCATCTTGATAAATCTCTTCTGCACCCTCTGTAGTGCAAGCAAGTCCTTCCTAAAATGTGTCAATAAGTCAGTGCACATGGAACAGTGCACATGGGGTAGGTGACGGCCTAGTGATATTATTGCTAGACTATTAATCCACAAATCCAGCTAATGTTCTGGGGACCCGGTTTCGACTCCCACCACAGCAGATGGTGGAATTTGAATTCAATAATTAAAAACAAAAGTCTGGAATTAAGAATCTACTGATCACTATGAAATGATTGTCTGGAAAAACCCATCTGGTTCACTAATGTCCGTCAGGGAAGGAAATCTGACAACCTCACCTGGTCTGGCCTATATGTGACTCCAGACCCACAGCAATGTGGTTGACTCTTGATTGCCCTCTGAAATGGCCTAGCAAGCTACTCAGTTGGACCAATCGCTACGAAGTCTCAAAGAAATGAAACTGAACGGATCATCTGGCATCGGCCTAGGCACCAGAAAGGACAACAGCAGAAACAGCCCTGTCGTCCCTGCACAGTTCTCCCCACTAACATCTGGGGGTTAGTGCCAAATTGGGAGAGCTGTCTCACAGGCAGGACAGTGGTATACAGTTGGGAGGGTGTTTCTCCAGGAGTCCTCCACATTGACTCCGGACCCCATGAAGTCTCATGACTTCAGGTTAAACATGGCCAAAGTAACCTCCTGCTGATTACCACGTACTGTCCTCCCTCAGCTGATGAATTAGTGATCCGTTCAGTTTCATTTCTTTATTGTTGAACAACACTTAGAGGAAGCACTGAGGATGGCAAGGGCACAAAATGTACTCTGGGTGGGGGATTTCAATGTCAAACACCAAGAGTGGCTCAGCAGCAGTACTACTGATCGAGTTGGTTGGGTCCTAAAGAACAGAACTGCTAGACTGGGTCTGCGGCAGATAGTGAGGGAACCAACAAGAGGGAAAAACATACTTGACCTCATCCTTACCAATCTGCCTACTGCAGTTGCATCTGTCCATGACCGTATCGGTAAGAGTGACCACTGCACAGTCCTTGAGGAGACAAAGTCCCGTCTTCACATTGAGAATACCCTCCATTGTGTTGTGTGGCACTATCACCGTGCTAAATGGGACAGACTTCGCGCAGATCTAGCAACTCAAGACTAGGTATCCATGAGGCGCTGTGGGCCATCAACAGCAGCAGAATTGGACTCCAGCACAATCTGTAACCTCATGGCCTGCCATATCCCCCACTCAACCATTACCATCAAGCCAGGGGATCAACCCTGGTTCAATGAAGAGTGCAGGAGGGCATGCCAGGAGCAGCACCACGCTTATCTGAAGATGAGGTATCAACCTGGTGAAGCCACCAAACAGGACAACTTGCACGCCAAACAGCCGAACTAAGCTATCCCCCAACCAACGGATCAGATCTAAATTCTGCAGTCCTGCCACATCCAGCCGTGAACGGTGGTGGACAATTAAACAACTCACTGGAGGAGGATCCTCCACAAATATCCCCATCCTCAATGATGGAACAGCCCAGCACATCAGTACAAAAGATAAGGCTGAAGCATTCGCAGCAGTCTTCAGCCAGAAGTGCCGAGTGGATGATCCATCTCGGCCTCCTCCAGTTGTCCCCAGCATTACAGATACCAGTCTTCAGCCAATTTGATTCACTCCACGTGATATCAAGAAATGGTTGGAGACACTGGATACTGCAAAGGCTACAGGCCCTGATAACATTCTGGTAATAGTACTAAGGACTTGTGCTCCAGAACTTGCTGCTCCTCTAGCTAAGCTGTTCCAATACAGTTACAACACTGGTATCTACCCGGCAATGTGGAAAATTGCCCAAGTATGTCCTGTACACAAAAAGCAGGACAAATCCAAACCAGCCAATTACTGCCCCATCAGTCTCCTCTCGATCATCAGTAAAGTGATGGAAGGTGTTATCAACAGTGCTATCAAACAGCACCTGCCCAGTTTGGGTTCTGCCAGGGCCACTCAGCTCCTGACCTCATTACAGTCTTGGCTCAAACATGGACAAAAGAGCTGAATTCCAGAGGTGAGGTGACAGTGCCAGTCCTTGGCATCAAGGCTGCATTTGACCAAGTGTGACATCAAGGAGCCCTAGCAAAACTGGAATCAGTGGGTATCAGGTGAAAACTCCATGGTTGGAGTCATACCTGACACATGGGAAGATGGACGTGGTGTTTGAGGTCAGTCATCTCGGCTCCAGGACATCTCTGCAGGAGTTGCTCAGGGCAGTGTCCTAGGCCCAACCACCTTCAGCTGCTTCATCAATTACCTTCCCTCCATCATAAGGTCAGATGTGGGGATGTTTGCCAATGATTGCACAATGTTCAGCACCATTCGTGGCTCCTCAGATACTGGAGCAGTCCATGTCAAAATGCAACAAGTTCTGGACAATATCCAGACTTGGGCTGACAAGTGGCAAGTGACTTTCTTGCCACACGAATGCAAGGCTATGATCATCACCAATAAGAGACAATCTAACTACCACCCCTTGATATTCAATGGCGTTACCATCACTGAATCCTCCACTGTCAACATCCTGTGGGTTACCATTGACCAGAAACTCAACTGGACTCACCATATAAACACAGTGACTCCAAGAGCAGGTCAGAAGCTAGGAATACTGCAGCATGTAACTCACCTCCTGACTCCTCAAAGCCCGTCCACCATCTACAAGGCACAAGTCAGGAATGTGATGGAATACTCCCCACTTGCTTGGATGAGTGCAGCCCCAACAACGCTCAAGAAGTTTGACACCATCCAGAACAAAGCAGCCCACTTGATTGGCACCACACACAAAAGTATTGACCCCCTGCACCACTGATGCTCAGTAGCAGCAGTGTGTACTATCTACAAGATGCACTGCAGAAATTCACCAAAGATCCTCAGACAGCACCTTCCAAACCCACGACCACTTCCATCTAGAAGGACAAGGGCAGCAGATATATGGGAACACCATCACCTCCAAGTTTCCCTCCAAGCCACTCACCATCCTGACTTGGAAATATATCGCCATTCCTCACTGTCACTGGGTCAAAATCCTGGAATTCCCTCCCTCATGGCAACACACAATAGGTGGACTGCAGCGGTTCAAGAAGGCAGCTCACCACCACCTTCTCAAGGGCAACTAGGGATGGGCAAGAAATGCTGGCCAGCCAGCGACGCCCACATCCCACAAATGAATGGAAAAAAAACTCCAGTTGTGACATAACCAGCATTTTATGCAGTTTCAGAATTCCCATTTCTTCTGGATGTAATCGAAAATTACTTTCATCTCCTGAGTTTATTTCTGAACTTTTACGTTCTCAAGCTTTCAACTTTGGAACTATCTTTCATTCTGAAAGTTTTCCTGGCAACTTCTCCCTCTCACTAAATCATGGCAAATCTTCCAGCCTTATTTTAACCTCCCATGGAGCTCTGGTCTTTTCAATCGAATCACAAGCTCTAACAGTTATTACAGCACAGTGAACCATAAAGACTTAGGAATTTAGTTGCTGTGTGTCACCTGAACCCTGTGTCTGATAGTTTTCAATGATATCATAGAAATCCTTCCCCTCTCAGCCATTTCAGTAGCAACATGCATCACATAAGGGTTAAGTCTAGACAGAAGTGCTGATTAACCCTCCTTGAGAGCGCAACTATTCTCTTGAAACTAAATGGGACAGTTTAAAGTGCAACTACATACAACCTGAGATGCTGAACACTTTACTAGTCCTTGGAAGACCAGCAGTCTATCCACTGTAGTGTATAGGATACCACCATTGTCTCCAAGTGTAAACTCTTTGCTCCTTGAACAATCTGGGTCTTCTTTCACTTTCAACAATCAAACAACCTAGGCTTGCTTCAGAGATAGCAGGAACTGCAGATGCTGGAGAATCTGAGATAACAAAATTTTCTGAAGAAGGGTCTAGGCCTGAAATGTCAGCCTTTCTGCTCCTGTGATGCTGCTTGGCCTGCTGTGTTCATCCAGCTCTGCACCTTGTTCTCTCATTAACCTAGACTTGCTGTCAGGCAGACTGCAGCACAAGTCACATGATCCTGTTCATTTTGCACTAAATTTAAAGACACGGACCTAAAATATTACTCTCTTAAACCTATAATTGTATGTGCAAATGAACATAAGTTCAGAGCAGGAGTAGGCCATTTGGCCCTGAAGTCTGTTCTTCCATTTTTAATATGTTTGTGGCTGATCTGATTGAAACTTCCACATTCCTTGCTCCCCCAGATAACCTTTCACTCCTTGCTTCACAAGAATGTGTCCATCTCTGTTTTAACAAGATTCAAAGACTCTACTTCTGTTACCCTTTCTGGAAGAGTTTCAAAGACTCATGACCCTCTGAAAGGGGAAAAAATTGCCTTATCTCTCTTAAATAAATGACCCTATATCTTGAAACTGTGACACCTAGTTCTAAAGTCTCCCGCAAAGGGAAATATCCTTTCTGTCTACCTTGTCAAGCCTCCTGATCTTTATAAACATTTTAATTAAATTGTCTCTTACTGTTTGGGTGTCCAGCACATATAAGCCTAGCCTGTCTAACCTTTTCCAATAAGATAACTTGCCCATTCCAGATATTAGTCTGGTAAACCTTCGCTAAATTACTTCCAACACCTTTTGTACCTTTTTTTAATTAAGGGAACGACTGCTGCATGCAGTACTCAAGATGTGGTCTCACAAATGTCCTATAAAACTGAAGCATAACCCCCCTACATTTGTATTCCATTCCCCTTGCAATCAACAAAAACATTCTATTACCTTTCCTAATTACTCGCCAAATCTGTGCACTAGCCTTTTGTAATTCATACACTAGGTCAACCAGATCCCTCTGCATTTCAGCACTCTGCAATCTCCCTCCATTTAAATAACATAAAATGGACAATTGCTCATTTTCCAAATTATACTCCTCTTGCCAGATTTTTGTCCACTCACTTAACCTATCTATGTTCATCTACTGTTTGCTTATGTCCTCATCACAGCTTACATTTTACCTGTCTTGATGTCAATAAATTTAGCAACTTTATCTTAATCTAAATCATTCATATAAAATTGTAAGAAGTTGAGGCCCCAGCACAGATCCTCATTCCACACCATTTGTTATATCTTGCCAACCAAAGAAAAGATCCACTTATACCTACTGTCAGCTTCCTATTAGCTAGGCACCTCCAATCAAAGCCGATATGTTATCCACTATACCATGAGTCTTTAATTTCCACAACCCTTCCCTTTAATGTGGCACCTTATGAAATTCTTTTTGGAAATCTAAGTACCATTAGATCTGTACTTTTACCCCACATCCACAGCACACATTACTTCCTCAAATAACTGAAATGAATTGGTTAAATGTGATCTCCCTTTCTCATAACCATGTTGATTCTGACTGGTTACCTTGAAATTTTACTAAGTGTCCTTCTGGAATATCTTTAATAGCTTCTAAAGTTTTCTGTGTGAAAGATGTTAAGCTAACTAGTCTTTAGTTTCTGGTTTTGTCTCCCCTTTTTGTTTTTGAAATATCACAATCCTAAGGAACCTTTCCCAAATCTACGGAAGTTTTGAAAATCAGAGCCAATGCATCAACTGTCACACTAGCTGCTTCTTTTAGAATCCCAGAATGAAGTCCTTCATGATCCAGGCACTTGTCAACTTGCAGCTCCAATAATTTACTCAGTACCACTTCTCTGATATTGGTTTCATTCAGTTCTTTCCTCCTTGCCATTTCCTGAATTATGACCAAAATAACTCCACAAATGCCGGTATCCTGTCATCAAGTCACCCTTTCTTTACACATGGAAAGTCCTTGAGACTATCTAGCTCCCTCAAATATACCTCAGAATGAACAGACCCTCTGACAATCCTGTTTATATCTGTCAGCCAGGGCTCCCTGATTGGACCAGATTACCAATCCCAATCAGGGAACTCATTCTATATATCCACCTGGCTGACCTTGTTACAAACACTACAGTAATTATTTCAGAGATGCTACTTCTACATTGATGACAGTTGAAAAGTAGCTGTTAACTTTATAATTGTATCAATTGCATTAATTATTAAAGAAGGTGTTAACTATTTATATATAAACACTGAAGTGTTAAAATGAATTCAATGCTGAAACTCTAAGATAATGGGGAAGAAAAAACTTGACATTCTATACAGTTACTAACCATGCACATTAAAATAGAAAGGAAAGAAATCACATCTGAATGTGGTCACCTACTTTCTCACTAATATCACAAAATGTCATTTAAGTTCCAGCTATGAATGTGATCTTTTGTTTGACGTGTTAGATTTTAAATGATCAAATATCTCAAAGCTCCTATTGACGATAAAAAACAGCAAATTATCTTAAGAGCATATCAAGAAATCTTAAAACACATTTTGCAACCACTTATATTAAAATTATTGCACCATACATTTATTTGTGTGTCCCCTTCAGTCTGCCTATCTGACCCCAAACTCCCCTCTCTCTTTTTGTATGACAATCTCTTAGAGTCATAGAATCAGAAGTCTATAACACAGAAAAATGCCCTTCAGCCCATCTGCACCTGCCAGAAACAAGCATTAACTGTTGTAATCCCATTTTCCAGCACTTGGCGTATTGCATTGTATGCCGTGGCATCATATGTATGCATCGGAATACCACTTAAGTGATATGAGGGTTTCTGCCACTATCACCCTTACAGGCAATAAGTTCCAGGTTCCCGTCACCCTCTGGATGAAAAAAATAGTTTCGTTATATCCCCTCTAAACCTCTTGCTCTCACCTTAAATTTATGTCCCCTGGTCTTTGATCCCTCTACCAAGGAGAAAGTTCCTTTCTGTGTGTGCCTCTCAACTATGTCCCCTACTTGATGTCCTCTGCTTCAAGAAGAACAGCAGTAGTCTATCCAAAGTCTTCATAACAAACTGTCCAGACCAGACAACATCCTAGTAAATCTCATCTGCACCATCTCCAGTGCAATCTCAGCCATCCAATAATGTGGATTCCAGAACTGACACAACTGATTCCTGGTCAGTCTGTCTATTTTAATTAATCTCTGGTTCTTGACTGATCTCTTCACAATGTTCACTACTTGTCCCCAAATTCTCAACACCATCCTTCTAGCACTGCACTGTCCTGTTCCTGCTGGGAGCTTGCAACTTTCTCTTCTCCAACCCAGGCACCAACTTTTTCTCTCCCGGCAGCAACCCAAACTCTTATCTTTCTCTCCCTATCAATATAATTTACAACCATGCCAGCCACCACCTTTCCCAACCTCCTCCTACTGTTGTTTGGTGCTCATTCTGTATCTTCTACTGAAGTCCCATAATCATTCTGCCATGTTAAATGTGCAGTTACCTCTAATGCTTTCAGGATGTCGCACAGTAACAGCATTAACTAACCAAGACAGATGCAGTACAAACAGAAGATATGATGTAGCTCTCAGACCAGGTTATAATTCACTCACTATTAACTTCTTAGTCCTGGGCCACTTGGGTCAAATAAATGTCTGATTCTAGTGTTCCCTATTTTGCAGCCCATTAATTCAACAATTTTGTATTTAACTGAGCTTAATTCTACCTCCTTGTAATATTTATTATTAGCAACTGAAGTATGTTGGATCATTAGAAATATGAATTTTTCAGAGCTAAAAACTACTCTCTATCTCACAGGTAAATGTCGACAGCCATGCAGAAATGGAGGGAAATGCACTGGGAGAAACAAATGCAAATGCATTAAGGGTTACCAGGGTGATTTGTGCTCTAAGCGTAAGTATCTTGCAACTTGAAAAATTGTCTCTTGCTTTTCGAGCTCCTCATAGGTTTTGTGATATACTAGAGTCCACCTTCACTTGCAACCAATTCCAGAGAAATGTATTTGCAGATGTTCACCAGAAAGCAAAAAAGCCTAGACTGTAGGTTACAATACTTATATATTGCTTCCTGTATGGAAGACTAAAAGACGCATGATCATCCTTCAAGAATGTAAGATTTTGTAAATAAAAACTAAATTTAAATTTCTCTGGTTGGTTATTTTATCTTTTGATTCTCTTACAATTGCCATGCTATAAATTGACTCTTTCTGGATTGCTTTGTTATCACAGCATTACAAAATCTTGGAGATTGCAATCAGGGCACCTTTTGACTTCAGAAATGAACTGAACATGGGTTTCAAATGGAATTTAATTGGAAACTCTTGTTCTTCAAGAATTTGAGGGTGAAATTGATCTTCATTGAAAGTACACAATTGGGCAATACCTAATCAGCAGAATTTAAGTCAACGGTCAAGAAAATTGGGCAGGATGTGAAATGAGCTGCTGGATTCCTTTTGCTAGTTCATCATTTACTTGAAAGATCAGCTTCAGTCCCTTTAGTTGCTTTTGATAATTATGTGAATAAATGGGTGGCACTGCACTATTCAAAATGACAAGATCTTTAAATGTTCATCATACTATCAAAGCTCTCATGCATCATGACCACCTGAGTAAGATTTCTGTTGGACACTTATAGAAATGTACAATGTCAAGGAATAAATTTTATCAAATGGGTAAGAAAGAAATATGATGGAAAAATATTAAAAACTATTTTAAAAATAATTTGGTGCCAAATGATATTTCAGAATATCTGCACTGATCTTTTCAAAACATTAAGGTATGCTGGTTACACAAGTGAGGTAACAACATTGATCTTTTAATAACCGCCTAAAAGGTAAACTTGCCAGAAAGAGTTAGATGAATACATTTTTTTTAAATTAAAGAAATAACCATTCCCATTTGGGTTACCAAATATTTACATGCAGATTGACTACAACTTTAAAAGCCAACTATGTTTATTGTGTAGAGCTGGATGAACACAGCAGGCCAAGCATGTTCATCCAAGCTGCTTGGCCTGCTGTGTTCATCCAGCTCTACACCGTGTTATCTCAGATTCTCCAGCATCGGCAGTTCCTACTATCTATGTTCATTGCGTGTGAGAAAATTTAAACATAGTTGAGAAGAATTAAACTTTCACACTTTTTGTTTTTTTTGCAGCTGTTTGTGAACCTGACTGTGGACCACATGGATCCTGTATTGAGCCCAACAAATGTGAATGCAGGGAAGGCTGGCATGGAAGACACTGTAACAAGAGTAAGTGGGAATGAAAGGGCATGTTGAAACCCTGACCTATTTCACAGCCGCTCTTGCCAAATAATCTTGAAAGCGTATATGATCTTAAGAATGTATTAAATCCCAGGTAATCTGATACCTTTCAACTAATTATTATGGTTCTTTGTCCCATTTAATAGAGACTTATCGAACCAATAAATCAACTCCTGAATAAATTTAATGCTTTAATGCCGGATTTGGTTTCTCTTACAAACCAAACTTCTATAGAACATCAAGTAATCATTAAATGGAAATCACAGTTGCTGTAGCTAATTGAGGCTGTAAATTGAATGCAGAACATATCCTTGAAATCCTATCAGTCGAGTGTAGCTTTGTTGACATATTCTTACTGTTATACGCTTGCTGTTTTACTCCTAGTCTATTCTTTCACCAGGTCTGCATTGCAACTATTCAAAGTCACATCAATAGTGCAGATGCTGGAGATGTATCAATTGGTTGTTTTTAGCTCTCTGATTTTTTTTTGAAGGATATGGAGCCAGCCTAATGAACACCCTGAGGTCAGCAGGCTTCAAGCACAGACAGCATACGCCTTTACCTAAGGAGAATGTTGAGAGTCACATACCAGCCGAAACTAATTACATTTGGTAAAGGAAAACATCTGAAACCTTTTTACTGTATGTACAGTTTACGACTCGACTAACCCCACTGAGTACTAAGTTCAAAAAAAGTCTGTAATGGAAAAACCACTCCTCTGTTTTGCCATACTATCTTCAAAACTACACTTAACATTGGAGCAAAAGCTCTCTAACAATGAAAATATTCTTTTCATTTTCTGCATTTTAACAGAATCACTGTACATTTTTGAAATATTTTAATATTTACACTAATGAATTTAAATTAATGAACTTTTAGACAATAGCTACATTTGATGCAGCAATAAACATCAAACAGGTATTATTTATACACAGCATCTATTACTTATTGAAGCCAAGGTAGCTGGTGCACTAAGAAGGGGTGCCAGTATATATATTTTAAATATGTATATACATATTTGTGCACAATACATAATGAACAAATTAAATATTCAAAATATCTTTAATTTACATCAACATTGATATTGCCGAGAGATCAAAGGCCACTTAAAGTCAGTTCTAGAGTAATATTAACTAGTTCTGCAAGCCTTCCAATAGATAACAGACCTGTTTTTCCACTCTATTCTGTAGCCTGATAGGTTTCATTACAAGTAATGTAACCTACAGTCTAGGCTTTTTTGCTTTCTGGTGAACATCTGCAAATACATTTCTCTGGAACTGGTTGCAAGTGAAGGTGGACTCTAATATATCACCAAAACTTTTAAATAAAGCTGTTACATGACAATGCACTAGATGTTTTCACCTGACTAGCTCCAAAGCAAAGTTACAAAAATTGGGTTCTTGCACGATTGGAGAACCGAGAAGTGTAACTTTCTCATTTTCAGGGTACTGATATTAGCAATCTACATTAATCTAAATATTATCTTCACATTTCATTTTATGCATATTTTATCTAAAAGCTAGAAGTCATTTTTCAAAATGTTTCATTTACAAGGCAAATTTAGAAACTGCTGTATGCATCTGTATAAATATGAGCAAAATAAAGACTTCATATCTTTCAGAACTTGTGTTAAAGTCTGGGTGCAGTATGACTGATTATTTAAAATATTCATAGCTATAAACTGGTTGTTATGTCTATGTTCAACAAGTAGGAACATTCAACTATTTTATTGAAAATTTATTGTGTTGCCAATTATTTGTAAATTATTTCCAAGTAATAGTTATATGTCTTATGAATGCCTGGCCATCCTTAGAAGTTCAAATAGGCATGTTGTAATAACCTTCATGTTGCAGGTTTCCTAATCTTAATTTTATTTTCAAAAAAGCTGACAGCAAAGAATGCTGGATTTCAATACTTGAATATTACTGGTTCTTTCTTGCAAACTACTTAAATATATTTTTATTTTTAAGTTTAACTTCCTGAAAATGAAACAGTATATCAAATCATTCTGATTTCTAGCATTTGCAATTTTTTGTATATCAACAGGTTATTTAATATTTAAATGTATGAAGAAAATCTGAACAAAAATGAGTAGAAATCAGTGTTGTACAATTTTTCGCAACTTAACTGTTGAAGGTTGATGAAAGACGTTTTACTGCCAAATGTTTGGATAACATGTCTGTTTGGGAAAGCCGCAGACACACATTGAAGAAAGTAATACTGGAGGCTAAGTATGTCCTTTCCGACTTGATTAAGGGGTTTGATTAGTTCGTTTGGTTGGATGGTTGCTGTGTGATACAGAGTGATGCCAACAGCATGGGTTCAATTCTCATACTGGCTGAGATTACCATGAAGGATCCTCCTCAATCTCTCCCCTCACTTAAGGCATGGTGACTGTTATCAAGTGGAGTTTGACACCCCCCACCCATTAACTGAAACCGAAACACCCAGAGAGGCACACCTCACCTCATAATCTGTTAAGAGTGAAAAGTGGTATAACCTGTCCGTTACCCCACTCAATCTGTTATAAAGGAGTGGTTAGCTGAAATGAAATCTTTTCACTCACTCTATAAGTCAACAAGTAACAATTTGTTTATCTAATTCTAACAGTGAACAAATTAACTGAACCGTTAACAAACCAAACAATTCCCCCTTAACTATTAACAATTTCCAAAGAAAACAAAATTCTAATGGTATGTTGTTCCAATAAATACAAGCCCCACTTATATAAACCAAAATAATAAAAAAAAACTTAAAACTTAGTCTCTCGAGATTACAGGCAGGATATGTCTTCCTGAATGTTATGTGCCTTCTTTGCTGTTCTTCGGTCAGGAACGCCTTTCTCCATCAAATTCTTCTGTCAGGAATGTTAGCTAAGAGTGCCGCTGTACCTTTGGTCAGATGGTGGTTTTCTGAGAAAGGCAGTGATTTTTCCCTTGGGGCTGCTGGTTGTTAACTGTAACAGATGGCGATTGCTCTCTCTCTGATTTTCAAATGCCCTCTTCATTTATACCTCTGATGACCGAACAATTTCTTACACCAGGAGTGGTCCTAGGTTGTCAAAACCAATCAGATTTTAAATGTAATTGGCTTTTAGTTTCTAAGTGCCTTGTTTAAAATAATTAGCTGATATTCAAACAGGTTGCCTAAACAAACTACTGCCTGGGTTGCTAACCACACAGTCCCTGATACAAATGTTTCAATTTCAGGAACTCTCTGTGCAGCTGCACAATTTATTTTAAAACTCTAAGCCCAGAAAAAGCACACCATCTTTTAAAGTAATTGCATACTCTTCCCCCCCCGACCCCATCATTTTACAAATATCAAATCCTAACATCCTGCCTTCCAATCCACAAACACTCTACCCAACTTTGCAACACCTCCCCCACCTTAAGAAAAAAAACAACCATCAGATGCTGGAGTAAGAGATAACAGGGTGGAGCTGGAGGAACACAGCAGGTTAGGCAACATCAGAGGAGCACAAAATTTTTCTGAAGAAAGGTCCTGACCCAAAACGTCAACTTTCTTGCTCCTCTGATGCTGTCTGGCCTGCTGTGTTGCTTCAGCTCCACATCATGATGTAAAGATGGCTTCATTTTTTTCTAAACCTTAATGCCATTATTACTAGATGCATAGGTCATTAATCTGAAGTTACCCATTTCATACTAATTCTATATACATATCTAACACTGAACACTGCTATTTCTATCTTGAATACACATTTTTCTTTTAATCCTGCAATAACGCAGCCGCAATAACATTTTTACCACACACATGTACAATCTGTAAATTAAGTGCTTATAACATAAGACCCCAGTGAAATTGTCTGGTGTTCTTGTCTTTAAATCTTTCCAAAAATGCCAACCGGTTGTCATCAGTGTACACAATTGTCTCTGATACATAGTTTTCAACATTAACATAAAAATGTTGTAAGGCCAGTACCAAACACTAAGTCTTTTTCAACAGTTGAATGTTTTTCTGGTGGAAATTGAGTTTCTTTGAAAAATAACCGATTGCCCTTTCAATTCCACAATCATCCTCCTGTAACAACATAGCTCCAACCCGTACATCGCTTGTAATCAAAATATTACAAGAAATTTGATGTGGTGGTTATCACTGTTTTTAAATTCTCAAATGCCTCCTGACATTGTTCTGTCCACCGAAATTTTGTGTTCTTCTTTAACAAATCCTTCAGCACTGCCACCACACCACTAAAATTTGGTACAAATTTCTCATAATATCCGCTCAGTCCCAAAAATCATAAAACCACCTCCTTTGAGGATGGTCTTGGAAGTTCCTCGATGGCCTTTGTCTTCACGTTCCTCAGTATCATCTGTCCATGTCCGATGTTGTGTCCTAAGAACATCACTTCCGCCTTTGCGAATTCTGTCTTTGCCAAATTTATGACCAACTTTGCCTTCGGTAGTTTCTCAAAAAGCTCTGCCAAATATGCCATGTGATCTTCTCTTGAATTGCTACAAATCGCTAAGTCATCTATATAGTCGGCACAATTAGTCCATACTGCCACAACTCTGTTCATAAGTCTTTGAAATATGGCTGGTGCATTCTTCATTCCCAAGGGCATTATTTTAAATTGATATAGCCAATCTGCACTTACAAAAGCAGATACTTCTTTTGCTCTCTCTGACAAAGGTACTCATCAGTAACACAAAGTAAATCAACTCTATGATGTAAGTGGCTTGTATTACTTTTCCACAAGTCCGATTTAGCTATGGTGTTGATCTTCCAATAATCTATGCAGAATCGTTCAGTACCATCAGATTTGGGAACCAACACAGTCGGTGAACTCCACTCTGCCTTATTGGAGCTTCACTTTCATTTCAATCTTTACTTGTGCTGCTTTGAATGTATTAAGGCTGTAGGGGTGTTAGTTTTATTAGAACAGCAGTCTCAACATCAACCTCGTACTACAGTATTGGTCCTTCTCTTTCTGTTTCTATGAATACCCTCATACTGTTGCAACAAGCCTTTCAATTGGTCCTCTGTTCTTGAGACAGATAGTTCACTATCCTATCCCATTCTTTAAGGATTTCTTAATTATTCAATTTATTCTGAGGCACATCAAAATCCAAATCATCTGGATTTGATTCCTTGCTCTGAGTGGCACTAACTAATACCTGTTTCTCTGATTCCCTTTCCCTGTCATAGTAAGGTTTCAGCAAGTTCACAAGACGTACTGGTAAACCTTTTTCCTATCTGGCAACTTTACCAGATAATTCAGCTGACCTAACTTCTTCTCAATCTGATAGGGACCACTAAACCTTGCTTTGAAGGGATCTCCTACCACTGGTAACAGCACCAATACTTTATCCCCATGGGCAAATATATGAATTTTAGATTTCTTATCGGCTTCTTGCTGCACTGTGTGCTGTGCTTCGTGTTGTCTCGCTAAGTCACCTACTCTGTTTAATCTTTCTCTCATCTCAGATACATAATCCAACTGTGAGATCGATAACTTTAGACCTATCAACTTTTTCTTAATTAATTTTAAAGGCCTTCTTACTTCGTGTCCGAATATCAATTCAAATGGAGTAAACCGAGTCGATTCATTTGGAGCATCTCCAACAGCAAACAATATAAATGGGATATCTTTATCCTAATCATTTGGGTAATCCTGGCAATAAGCCCTCAGCTTGGTCTTTAGGGTCTGATGCCACCTTTCCAATGTTCCTTGGGATTCATGATGGTACACACTTGATTTAAAATGCTGGAAGCCTAATCTAGCCAAGACCTCCTTAAATAATTTGGTAGTAAAATTGGACCCTTGGTCTGATTGAATCTCATTGGGTAGTCCATCATCAGTAAAGAAAGCAAGCAACTCTTCCACAACCTTTTTTGCCATGACATTCTTTAATGCAGTTGCCTTTGGAAACCTGGCAGACACATCCATTATGGTTAGCAAATACTGGTTTGCACTTTTTGTTTTAGGGAGAGGATGTAGACAAGCAATCATAACTTGCATGAAAGGTTCTTCCAATGCAGGTATTGAGATCAAAGGCACTGGTTTTATTACTGCCTGTGGCTTTCCTACCATCTGATATGTATGTCAAGTATGGCAAAATTCAACCACATCCTTATGTAAATCCAGGCCAATAGAAATGCTTCTGTATCTTAGTCTGAGTCTTCCTCATTTGTAGATGACCTCGTACAAGTAATTCATGTGTTACCCATAATACTTCCTCTCTGCATGCTACCAGCAAAACAATTTGGTGAACTTCCACCCATTTCTCATCAGCCCTAATGCACCCAATTTCCGCTTTAAGATTTTATCCCTAATGTAATAACATTCTGGAATACATTCTGATTCCTTTTCTGAGTAGGCTTT